TGAGTTCTTATGTTTATAAAATTTTCGCGAAAATCGATTTGAAGTTAAGGGGTTATATACCTTTTTCACCAGAGAAATACAGGGTTTTTATTTTTTTTTTTTTAGCATGTTACCATTGTTTTATTTAAATTCAATAAAAATTTTATCAAAGTACGTGTCCTTAACTTAATTCGTATAAAATTTCGAGTGAAAATTTTGAGAATTGTGGAAGTTATAGTCCTTGCCGCAGAAGTCCTTTTTTAAGTAGTGGCTAACGGTGAGCATGAAAACAAGAAAACGGCTCAACGAAAAAAAAAAAAAAAAAAACTACGTTAGTATATAGTGTTACCTAGTTCGTGAACGAAGGATTTTACGAAAAAAATTTTTTTACAGTTACAGTGATTATTTTTTCAAAAAACCCGATTTTTCGAGGTCTAATAATTTACCGAGATATCGTGCTCACCGCAACGACCGTTTCTCAAAAATGCGATTCCGAGATAATCGCGTTTAAAGTTTTAGGTGGACATTAGGTAGTCATGCACACCGTGCGCTATGAACGGCTGTATCTTAGGTTCTAGTGCCCCGATCTCTAAAAAATTTTGCAGAAAAATTGTTGAAAGTATGTACATCAAAATAAAATCATAAAATTTTTTTCGATTTTTTGATTCTGAAAAAGGTATATAACCCCTTAATTTGTACGTCAAAATTCGGTTGTTTAAAATGCTGTAACTCCGATAGTTTGGCTAAAATTAAAAATTTGTACACAATATTCTCAACATATTGGTCGTTTAAAAAATAAATAAAAAAAATAAACTTGAACTTAAAACATAAAATTTCAATTAAATTTCATAAAAACTAGACGAGTACATCATATAGCTGTCATCGGAACAATCGGTGTAAATATGGAGAATTTAATAGAAAATTCATCGATTACATCGATGAGGTTTAGCCTTTATGCATTTTTCTCGACATTTCTGATGACTGCAAGGGTATATAAGCTTCGGTTTGGTAAAGCTAGTTTCCTTCTTGTTTTAAAATAAATTTTTACAAATATTTTGTTTAGGGACTAGATTAAACGATTACAACAATTTAACAAGTTTTTATACCCTTGCAGAGGGTATATAATTATTTAGACATATTTGCTGACTGCAAGGGTATTTAGCTTCGGCTTGCCGAAGCTAGCTTCCTTCTTGTTTTCTTTAATTTTTGGTTTCCCTTAAATATCTTTTTGGACTCCAATACATTATGTAGTAGTGCTTAATTTCCTGTTTTTGGTACAGGATATCACAAGTCTTATTCCACTGTATTGAAGAGCATGTTAGTATCGCAAAAAGATTTGTTTGGGGTGAAATGGTGCTTGAGACCACCGATTTTGCTTGCTTTGAAATGTGTATAATTATTCATTATAATTATTAAACCCAATCAGTTTTACTATACTAGTATCTATTGATTTCCGCTTTTTAGTTGTCTGTTAATTTTTTGGACTTTTTCTATTTCATGCGAAACTTTCCCAATCGATCTAGATTGCATCTGCGTTTATCTATGTAAACTAGTCTCATAGTTAGCTTTAAATCTCGATCAACGTTTATTGAAAGTTGCGTAGCTCTTGCACACAGTATATAAGTCGGAACAGATCGGGGGACTATATTGGATAGCTCCCATACTAAAGACAGAAAATATTATCACGCCGTTGTTTTTGATCATATCGACTTGATTTCTTCCAGATGGTTTTTTTTTAACTACTGTCGACTTTCAAATTAAATTAGCTACCATAGGAAAGATCGAAAAATGTATCTAGAAATACCGTAGAATCCGGTTATAGCGACTTTCAAGGGACCGACGATTTTTCGTCGTTAGCAAAAGGAACAAAAAAACATTTTTTTTTTTGTTTATTTATGGTTGCCGTCTTCGTAATAGGTTTTTTAAAATAAATCAAATTAGTTTTCTAATTAAAACGAAAAATTTAATAGTGAGTGAGCTTATTATTGCATATTTAGCATTCGCCGAATTTACGCTTTTAGTTTTACTCGGAAAAAAGCAGAAAAAACTAGAAATTTAACGGGACATCTCATGGAATAGGCTATGAGGTCTGCACACGCAGTGTGACGTCGGCATTGCATTTCGACTCTCTCTCTCTCTCTCTCTCTCTCTCTCTCTCTGTCGCAGCAGCGTTGTTAAGGCGACAGCTAAAACTAACAGAGAGTAGTGACAGTGTAAGATCCTTCGCGTCGCTGCTACGCACACAAGCAAAGGTGCCGATCACTAATAAATACATATATTTCTAACAGTGTGTTTTGATGTTTAAATTTGGCACTATTGCAATGTATTTTTTTTTCTGCACGACGCAATATCCGGTTAAATTTTTAAATTTTCTTGAAAAATTTCGTTCGTATAAGCGGTTTGTCGCTAAAAGCGGAAACGCTCTAAGCGGAGGCCCTGTCATATAAGTTTGTATGGAGACCAACCAAGCCATCGAGTTTCGTCGCACAACCCGGACGGACACTATAGGCGGAGTCGTTATAACAGGATTCTACTGTAGTGGAAAAAATATGATAACGTTTCTGTTTTTAACGGAAATAAAATGATAACATTGTAGTTTTTCATCAGGAAATCATAATTTTTGGAATTTGGACTTTGAATTTCTAATTAAATTTCATCAAAATTGATATAGTTATCCGATTTTGATAGCTGTCAAAGAACAAAAGTCGAAAATATGGAAAATAATAGAAAAATCGTCATAGCTTCGATGTTGTTTAGCCTTTATGTATTTTTGTCGAAATATTTGATGTCTGCAAGGGTATATAAGCTTCGGCTTGCCGAAGTAAGCTTCCATTCTTGTTTTTTCTTAAGAAAAGGGTATTTCCTATTCGGTTTTTACCACAACAATGGTCATCCACCCTAACAAATACGAGTACACATGTATTATCTGTAATGTTTTTTACTTCTTTTGTTACGTTTAGGTTTCTGCTAAAATTCATATAAATTTGATATTATATCATAAAGCTGTCATAAAAAATTGAAAAAACTACGTTTTTTAGAGGAACCTGGCCTTAATTTAAAATAAGCTTGTTACTATAGATTAGGAAGGAGTGTAGTTGGTTTCTACACTTAGTTATAACCTCAAATTATGCTTGGGCAACCATTTTTTTTATTTATATCTGCAAGGGTATACCAATATTGGCTTTTAGAACCCAAATTGTGGACTCGAATTTATTTTCAAATCGTTCTTTATACTAAAACAAGTAAAAATCCATATATTATACATAATGAACAATGAGTTTTAAAGTATACTAAACAAATTAGTTAATAAAATTTAATTTCGCTAGATTACTTATTACGTAATGCATGTTATGTGTATATACATAAAAAAATAGGAAACGATTTATTTGAAAAATGTTCGTCTGTACTTTAGTGTTAGAGACTGAATTAAATAAATATCCGCTGCCAGATTAAATAAATATCCGCTACGCATGAATAAAATTTTAATTTGTTGACCTCACGTATGCATGTAAAACACTATTTTCTACTTGTTAAAATTTGTTTTTTTGTTAACATACTGTCAAAACTATTTTCCTCTGGTTATTTTTATTATTTATTATGGTTTTTTTATTACCAAAGAGTCGATCTGTCGGGCTTGAGTAATCGTTAAAGATGGCAAAGCTTTAACTTTCTTGCAGTTGAAAATTACACAAATAAATTAAACTTTCTTGTGCTTTTTGTGTATAAAAATAGTAATTGTTGTTAACTATTTACATCGTTAAGAAATTATTATATTTCTACTGTGATATATAATAATGTAAAATATTCTTAGCATTTGTCAAAAAAAAAATAAGAATTTTAAAATGTATTTTCATTTATTCCGTTAGATTTGCACTTCCGAAAAATAGAAAATAATCAAAATGGGTCTCAGTAAAATATTGAAAAAGTTATGGCACTAAATGCCGGGTTTTATTTACATATGTAGTCACATTTTTTACAGTGTTGATTTCACTTCTCAATTTACATTATAAACTAACTTAATCTCCAATCACTTCTGTCCTTGATTTTAATACACTAATATCTGAAACAACATCGGTAGGCACTTATATTTTTATATCCATTATCAAACGCTTAAAAAATTTATTTATAGGATCTCTGCGTAAATAAATAAATTATTCATTTTGTGAAATGTGACAATATATGCCAATGGAAACCGACATAGCACAGACAACACTAACTCTGCTTCACAGTTTACATTATTTAGCATTTTTTAATGTCTTGGCTGTCTACTTTATTCTCTTAAGATCTACTTTATTCTCTTAAGATCAGAGCATGGTATAATAACTACAAGGTAGTCCCGTCGCCGGCGGCAGTCCCCTATTGCGCACTACAATGAGTGCGAGTGAAAGAGTGTTTTTCTGTAAGTGCGAAAGAAACAGAAAAATAGTGTGTGGTTTATCCCTTATGCTGTGCATAGGGTTTAAATAGGACTGTTATACGACAATGAGTATTAATTGTTCCGTAATTTTTGGTTTTTACCCAAAGCTGCCCTTTAGGACCCGCCCCCATATTGTAACCCTTTCAAAATATTTTTGTGCAATATTACATGTTACGCATTGTATGTGCTTGCTGCATTAATTGCAACAAGTATTTTTCATAAGCACACAAGGGTTAACGTTTTGAGAAAAAATCGTCCGCGGACAACCTCTCACTGCAAACGACCCGAGCGTACTGAGGCGATAGGGGACTAAACCCGAACAATTCTGCCGGCGACGGACCTACCTTGTAGTTATTATACCATGAATCAGAGTATCTTATATTCTGTCAAATGAAAACAAATTTTCATGAATTGATTTAAAAAAAAAAAAAAATTCCTAGTAGATATGAACTTTTTAAGAACGCTTTATTCCAACAAAGATCAAGCAACCCTAACAAATACACATGTATGGTGTTAACTGTAATGTTCTTTTTATTGTTTTTTATTACGTTTACGTTTCTGTTTCTGTTTCTGTTCGTTTTTTGTCTAATTTTATTTGTTTCAGTTGCGTGTCATTCGTGCTTTCCGCTCGACATTGGAAGATCTAAACGAACGCCGTTCGATGCACAGCTTACACAGCTTACGCAGTCCTCGGACGGGTGTGCCAGCAGTTCCAGTGGGCGGTGGCAACCCGTTGTACAATTTTAATCTGCTGAGCCCCAATTACATCAACCAGCAACAGCAAAAGCAAACAAAGCAAACAGCACAGCAGCCTCAACAACAGAACCAGAACGTGTCAAACGCCATGCTGCCGCCGGATATATCTTTCATTGACGAAGACCCGCAACAGCATCAGCGTTCTTTGCACAACGGACTAACTTCCCAACTACACCTGTCAAAATCCACAAACGAATCTGCCCCTGCTTCAAGCCAAAGCTTATCACAAATTGCACACAACTTACAGCAACAAATCCGTGGTAACAAAACCGCAACAAAGCATTCCAACGGACAGAGCGAGACTAAAATTTAAAAGTTTAAGTTCTTATCAGAAAAAAAAAGTCTCATTCGAATTTTACTTTATAAAGATGTCGAGACAGCAAATCATGGTGAGGCACAAGAAGAAGAAGAATTTTAAGATCAACAACGGACTGACCATGATTTATTTAACGTATTTGTGAGCCTCTAACCAATGAGGTTTGAAGTTAACTGATCGCGCTTGTTTTTTTAATATTTATCAAATATGAGCCTCTAACCAATGAGGTTGAAGTTAACTGATCGCGCTTGTTTTTTTAATATTTATCAAATAAACACATTAACGTTTATTGAACTCAATTGTACATTTAAGGGAACTCTAACATAACAAAAGTGAATTTATTTATGTATATATATGTGCATGTTAGAGGCTTTATGCCGGAGATGTTGCAATTAATTTTGTATTTTAACTAGCTTGTTATTCCCAACTGCATAATCACACGTAATGCTCATTTTATAAAAAGATTTTTTGAGTACCCCGAAACTAATGTTTTAAAATAGTACCAATAATATTATAGAAAATAAAAGCATGCATTTTTTAAAATGAACTTTTTAACTCTAAAACACAAATCTAACGTCTATTATTTTCGTTTACGCGATAATATTTATACCTTTTTTTCATTTTTATCTGGAGGAACTACATTTTTTTTAAATGATAAAGAAACTGAAAACGCAAACATGAATCCCAGATAATATTTATGTAATAAAATATATAAATCAGCCAAATCTGATAAAGTTAGAATATTCAAACGAGAAAAAAATTAGGTATTCGCATGAACCAAATGGTGGGCTTGTTCAAATTAACGCTATTTAACTATGCAAAAACTTGAAATATTTCTTTAAAAAACGAAATTGTCCTTTCCAGAATTATTAGAAGCTGATTGCCCTAACGTTGACATGTCCAGCACTTGCATTAATACACTTACAAAAATATGTTATTTTCAATTGTATTTGCCAAGACTTTATCATAGTACACACATATATTCCCCTTACTTTTTTACCAAAATGACTTTTAAGTTTACATTTATTCGCTCTAAAAAAAAAAAAAACAACAAAAATATATGTACATATAATTATTATATTAAAATTATTGTCAAAATGTTTGTAGTGACTTATTTTTATAGCAGCAAAAAAAAACATCTAAATTTCAGCCATCTTAAATCTATTTTTCTCTTTCCCCATTTATTGTTTTCTATTTTACTTTCTATCTCTCTCCCTCTCTTTCTCTTTAATCTTAAAGGTAATAGGCGGCGAATTGCAAGAACGCTTAATTCCGGTCCCATACAGCAAGAGCAACACTGACCAAGCTGTAAGCCTCCACATTTTTACTCGTATTTTATGTTAACAAATTTAAATACCAAATACTAAGATTGATCTTGGTTAAGAAATTACATTAAGATTAAGCTGCATTGCTATCATTTGAATATCCTGTAACATATACAATTTTGAAATGTCTGTTTGTCTGCAATAACCCGATGCTAACGCCAGAATTTAAGAATTTAAGATTTTCTGTTCCTCTTATTTAACCGACTAAAAGGACTTAATATAATACGGCTTTATAGTAACATAAACATAATTGAGCTCGGAAAACCGAAAACTCAGACATATCTCAGATTGGTTTCATCTTTTTAATTATATTTTCAGTTAGATTTCTAGGCATTGCCTTTTTTTTCCAATCTTCTACCCCTCAAAATTTTTCTTTAATTCAAAAGGGTTTTCGTTGCTACTTAAAACTATATACAAAAACTTGCTAATTTTTTTTTTATTTTTTTGCATGCTGAGAAACAATTTGTCAGTAGATTGTTGATAGAATTATTCACTAATAAAACTGTTGTCGTCCGAGTTATCCATAAGTCAAAGGATAAGCGAAATATATGGATTGTTACAATTGGTTTAGCCTGTGTTTTGTCCTTTAGATACTTTGGAGATAAGACTATCTGAATATTCGCTTTAGTTCCCAAAGTAGTTTTCTCCTTGTGTACACAACTGTTTGTAGTGAACTAGTAATTGTTACCTTAAGTTTTAATTTATTTTAGTTATGCGCTTAAACATACAGATTAAGAATGTATATTTATGTGTGCATTCCCGGCTTGAGTGATTAAAGCTGTTCTTTACTGTTGTTGTTTCTGTCTCTTTTTGTCACTGTTCTTGGTGTTGTTCTTTTCTTCTTACCTAATGTACGCTTAGATTCGTGTGGTGAATGCCTTCCGGCAAGGTCTCGACGCCCGTTACGGTGATCACACCAATACGTCCCTGGCAGAGGTGCTGCGCAAGCAGACTTCGTTGAGCAAACGGCTTTCGGAGACATCGTCCATTGAGTATGCCGACAATATACCAGATGAGCTGACCGTACCGGAAATCGACGTCGAACGTTTGTCATCGCACAGTCACACTGAAACCGCAGTTTAAACTGATTGGCATTTGTATGCTAATAAAAATACCAACAAAACATTTCTTAAAGGAGATATTCAAATTTAACTTGACCACACAGCTCGACTATGAGTGCACAAACTTATATGAAATTGTTAATTTTTAGTTACCAGTCCTGCTTTGATTTACCTGTAACTCAAACTACATAAACAAATGTAAAAAATCCTTTAAGAGCCAAATTCATTCAAAATCTTATTGTTTAAAATAAATCTAACGCAGATCTATCGCAGATTAACAATAAACATTTTGCTGCAAGTATGTGTGTTATCGGAAAATACATAAAATATTAATCGTATACACAGGCGCCATTGTTATCGTTGTTTCCCAATACAAATTGAAATGCAAACGAACAAAAATTATACCTTACACCCAAACCATTACATATTATTATATTTAATAAATGAATCGATAAATAGAAATACTGTTTTGTGCTTATTGGAATGATTTATTGGTTTATCCGGCTCGAAGGACCAAAAAATGAAGTGCTGGGGCGTCCGACTTGAAGGCAGCAAACTCCTGGTGGGCAGCGACGGCTGGCGGTGGAGGCTGTGGGGGCAAGAAAAACACTCGGCGATCGCGGAAAAGAAAAGTCTTTAGATTTCAATCGTGGCGCGGACCGGCCGGGCGTTTATTCACTGCGTTGATGTATTTGGTACTAACTTAAGCTATTCTAAGCTAGGCGTTTGAAGGCGCAGCGGAGACTTCTTGCGCTCGGGGAGTGGAGAGCCTGGACCATGCAACAATTATACAAGGTAGTCCCTTCGGCTGCAGAATTGTTCGGGTTCACTCCCCTATCGACCCGAACGCTCGGGTTTTCGTAGGAAAACACTCTTTCTCTCGCTCTAATTGTAGTGTCGATAGGGGAGTAACGAGCCGACGGGACTAACTTGTGTAGTTGTACCATGGACGCACTTAAATATGTAAGCGCAGGCATGATACAATTATACAAGGTAGTCCACTCGGCTTGCCGAAGTCGTTCGGGTTTGGTCCCTTATTTTCCTTGTGCGTGCCTGCTTGTATGTAGCCGTTTCACTCACACTTGCTTGTCAAAGCTAAAAATAGGGGACTATGGATTTTGCCGAGTGGACTACCTTGTATAATTGAATCATGAGCGCAGGTCGCGATCGTACGAGCAGAGGACGGCGGCAGAGAAGCGAAAGAAGTGCAAGAACTTTGGCTGGCGATTAGTTTTGCGCGTCAGAGAAGATCAATTATCTCCGAGGCCCAGCTCCGTAAGCACGTATTTTTCCGGCACCCGTTCATCGCGGCTCTGCGCTACGCATCTATAACTATAACTCTTTATAGGAAGTGTTTAATTTTACGGTGATTAACGCCCAATGGTATAAAAACTATTTGACTCTTTTTAGGGTAAAGTTTTCACACAACTTGGCTTACAGAAAGCGTACATCCGTTTTTGAGCTGAATAGCTAACGCAATTGACTTTTTTTAAACGCCGACGAAATTCCAGACTGTGTAATTAGGTACTACCCGTCGCCCTGTGTAGACTTCACCAGTTATTTACCTTATCCACATCAAACTTCCACTACCCCCACTTGCAACATAGTTGTTAATTAGTTACATCTCTATGACAACATGGACATGCCCCTGGCGCTGTAATAATGTAAATAATAGTTATACGGATTATTTTAAAATAATTTTTATTTTTACAACAAGCAAATAAAAAAATGTATTTACAACAAGAAACGAGCTATCTTCGGTGAGCTGAATCTTAGATATCCCTGCAGTCGACACAAATGTTGAGCGAAAAAAAATATCGAAGTTATAATGATTTTTCTATTTCCATTTCGCCACGGCGAACCGGAGCAGTTAGAACTTAAATGCAGAAAAAAAAAACTAAGCTCATAAAAATCTATATTTTTTTTTTCGAAATTTAAGAGATGTAAGAAAAGTCTATTTACAAAAATGTATGCTTATATTATAAAAATCAACGATGTTACAATTTTGTTGCATTAATTTAATATAGATTTTTTATTTTTTCTTATAATACAATAGCCCTTTTTTTTTTTTTTTTTTTTAAATTTGTTTCTTGATTAGATTGTAATTTAACTTGATATATGATCATGTATTACATCCCTCTGTTTTAAAGGAAAGGCATTCCCATAGGAAATGCATTCCCATAGGAAAGGCATTCCCATAGGAAAGGCATTCCCATAGGAAAGGCATTCCCATAAGAAAGGCATTTGTGATGACTGCAATGGTATATTAGCTCTAGCTTGCCGAAGCCAGCTTTCATTCATGTTTATACCCGAATTTTAGCTCCTATACAATAGTTCCCAAAATTGCGACGTTTATGCGGACAAAATGACAGACTTACACCGGCCTGATCAAGAATATATAAAAACTTTATGGAGTCGAAGGTCGAAAGAGCTACGACCTGTTACACGTTTATTCAATGACTTATTTGTTAATATTAATTAAATGATTATTAACTGGAAAAATCTAAATGTTTCTATATATACACGAATCCTTTCTTTAGTTTCTCAAGTTATGCATGGTGATAAAATAAATTAAATATAATAATACGCTTTAAAAATAAAAAAAACTTTGAAACCGAAGAACCACTCAGTAACATATTTTGTGTGATACATAAATTTTTTAAATGTAGGTTCTCAAACGCTATGTCGATTCATAACTTGTCAACAAGGCAGCATCCACGGGCTCTAAGCAACTGGGACACGTAAGACTTCTCAATAGCCAATCGTCTATACAGTTGACGTGATAAATATGCATACAAGGTAGATAGCGCACAGCTTCGTCGACGCAAAACTCAGCCATGCAAATCACACACTCTCGTGCTTTCTTCGAGTTTCCATCATATGTTCCTATAGGCAAATGTTGCATCAATCCAATACGCTTGGCAATCTTAACTTGGTTCTCATCAGAAAGTTGACGATTGGCAGATAATGGTGGGCGAATATCGGAAGCTGAAGTCGTGGGATAAAGCCTTTGCTGAAATTGTTCGTCCTGCTGAAATATATTATAAAGAACTTAAAGATTAAAGAATAAAGAACTTAAAAATTTATACTTACATGGTATATTGGTTGCGACCCGCTTTCTTGCCCAGTCGTACTATCACTGCCTCGCAATAGCGAAATGTCATCTGATGTTCCCACTTTTAAGCAGTTACCCATTTTATCCGTTTAATTGAGATCCAAACTGAAATTAAAAAATATTAAATTACCCATTTTATATTTTGTTCTACAATTTTGAAGCACGAATAAAACCATGGAAATAAATTAAAATATTAATATAAATAAAAAATACATACTATAAAAAAAAAAAAAAAAAAATTTATTAAGCAAGAGTTTATATTACATTAGCAGCAGAAGGTCGAACAATCAATCATAACACAGCCACAAAAAAAAAAATATTTTTTCGGGCCTGGTGGTCAGACCATGTTTACTATATGTTTTCGGGGTCGCTGAATTCGAATCCGAGGTCCAAAAAACCCCAGTACGTCAGGGTTCTGACATAATCTCAAAAAACCTCATACAAAATTATATTCGAGTCCGTGGGCCAGACCATGTTTATTATATGTTTTCAGGGTCGCTGAATCCGAATCCGAATCCGAGGTCTAAAAAACTCCAGAATGTCAGGGTTAAAAAAAAAGTTTCTACTTATCGAGACCGAGACTTCGAATTCCGTAAATTTTTTGAGGTTATGTCGTAACCCTGACTTTCTGGAGTTTTTTAGACCTCGGATTCGGATTCAGCGACCCTGAATACATATAATCAGGGCTAACAGAGTTATGTTCTTAAAAACGTAAAAATATGTATGGATTTATGGACGAAAAAATAGAGATATATGGACGAAATATGGACGAAAAAGTTGACAAATATGGAATAAAATGGAAAAACATGGATAAATATTTGTATTATAGACGCAAAAAGGGATAAATATAGGTATAAAAATGGATAACCGTAGACGATTATATCGATCATATTAACTTTTTATGACAATTAACAATTAGAAATCGCGAGATTTGTCTCAAAGATCATTGCAGAACAATATGACATGTTGTGTCAGATTAGTAAAAACAAAACTGTAGTATGCTCACATATGGGGTACACACTGTACCACTTATGTATATCACTGCAACATTGTGGCGTTTGGTTATGGCCAAATATTCCCAGCACTTCAAGTGCAGAGTAATTCGACCCACACAACAATGTTATGAGCATCCTAAATGCTGAGCCGGCATGTCTGCATGCGCGGCCGATCATTCGTTTACAGTGTGAGCATAACACTCTCCCTCTCATGCGCGCCCGCTGCTTGCGCCGCTCATATACACTTATGCATAAGCGTTGGCCGCTGCTCTGCAGCGGCACACGTACATTAATATACATGTTTATATACATAAACGTTTGGCCGCGGCGCTGCTCGCGCAGCTATATGAATTGTGAGCCAAGGCCAATATATCTTAAGCAGAGAGCCACATTATGAAGTGGAGCTCCAATCTATAAGGTTTATACGAAAATGTTTTAATAAATATATAATGCAAAAATGAACTAACCGCAGTGTTTTACAAATTTAATCAAAAACTATTACATGGCGACCGTGACATGGTCACAACTTCGGATGTGTGAAAAAAGAGCGCCAAGCGCGCGGTATCTGAAACCGAGTTCTTTGTGTATTTAAAATATTCATATACAACAAATGCGAATAGAAACAACGCCGGTAGAAATATAAATATTTTACTTCAAAATATGGGAATTACTAAGAATCCAAAGCTAAGTGGAATTTATGGAAAAACACAACAATTGAAGTGCTAATCACAAACGCAGATATACAACCTAAAAATATCAGGATTAACCAAATAAAGAAAATTTGTACGAGCCTGTGCGATGACCAGCACCGGCGCCGCCTGAGTCAAAAAGGCCAATAATAATAATAAAAAAAAAAAAAAAAAACGTATACAATCATCAACCATAAACCTGTGCGATGACCGGCACCGGTACCGATATATATATATATATATAAAAATAAAAACAAGAAGAAGAGCGCGGGAGGCATAGGACCGCCCCCTGTGCCGCCGTTGGAAGCTGTATCAAAGTGCGGGAGGCATTGGACCGCCCCCTGTGCCGCCGTTGGAAGCTATATCAAAAGCGCGGGAGGCATTGGACCGCCCCCTGTGCCGCCGTAGGAGAAGTTATATCAAAGCGCGGGAGGCATTGGACCGCCCCCTGTGCCGCCGCTGGAAGCTGAGAAGAACAGAAGTTATACCAAAGCGCGGGAGGCATTGGACCGCCCCCTGAGCCGCCGCTGGAAGCTGAGAAGAAAGAAGAAGGCGCAATAACAACAACAAATTTTTTTTTATAAATAAAAAATTGAAATGATATATATAATGTACATATTTTATAAGTAAATCCCAATTTGGCACAAGGCGTTTACGCAAGCCTTATTGGTAATATTAAGAACTAACAAAATACCCCAATCCCAACCATAAACTCATCACTAACAATATGAGATGGTATAAATTTAAACTAAGAAATTAACGTAGCTTGAAATGTAAACCAGTTTGAAAATTTGTTCATGTAAGCCATCTCATATACACTAACAACTCATACCACCAGCTAGGAATCAGGATAAATTTTTTTTTCTCTTCCATTTTCTTTTTTTTTCCTCTCTTATTTTTTTTGTTAGTGAGATTTTATTTTTTTGTTTTGAATAGAACCCTGTTAAAATGGGTAGCTGGTTTAGCTCCGAAGAGAGCCAGGCAAAAGACAATACAGCCAATGTCATTAATGACATAAAAATTGTTGATCACACAGATGACATTAAGTCTCTGTGGATATTGCTTTTAGTGATTGCCATTACAAACGTAATCAATTTAATTCTCAAGATTTATGCTCAGCATAATAAGAAACTAAAGAAAAGATATCAGAGCAGGGCCAATGATTTAGATAAAATATAAAAGAAAATATATAAAAAAAAAAAAAAAAATATATATATACATATATTATATATAAATAAACATAATGAGTCAGTTCCTTCGACATAATGTCAAAAACTCTCCAGGAAGCAATTAAAGAGAACCCTTTAGCGGGCCCAAAACCGCTCACAATTAAAGAATATAAAGAAAGAACTGGGGAATTAAGAAAAATTCGAGAAAGGGAAGAAAAACTGACAGAAATCCCTAAGGTAAAAATTCCCAAAAGAGGGGGAGGCGTTAGAGTTGCTGCAATCAGAAAAAGAGCAGGACTAAAGGACGCGTTAACTAGGTGCACAGACCCTAAACGACGTGCAGAAATATCTGCAGAGATTACAAAAATAAATAGGGAAACCAAAAGAAAAGCATCTAAGAAAATAACTGCCTCCACTAATGGCAACCTGGAAGGAGGTAAAAAACAAGCAGGACCTAGCTGCTCAAACAAATAATAACTAAAACGATTAAGACTATAAATCATTAAAATATATATTCAAAAAACCTAATAAAAACCTATCTATTACATTTGGAAAAAATAAAATATTGCAGATACAAACTATATGATCAAAAGACATGAATACCCAAGAGGTAATTGCAAAAGTTTATGAAAGGGATAGTCTCTTCGCTGAACGTATTCAGCAATTGGTCTCAACGACCCCAACAAAAATTAGTGAGCTAGAATATAATTATTTGGATATTTTTAATCTTGACACATCGCCATTAATTCATTGCTCTGCGACGCAGAAGGCAATTATATTGAGTACAATACCAGGTATTCATGTAAGATCGGTTATAGATGATCATGACATACTGGGTAGAACTCTTATAATGGTAGTTTACAGGAAATAATTCATATCCATACGATAATGGAATGGAATGAGTTATACAAGGAATTACAAAATTTAAAAAGTGATTTCGACAAATCTTATAAGTCGTTAACACAAAATAGAACGATTCAGCAAGTAACAATAAATAAACATGCTGAAATATTAGTGGCTCGCTTTAATACAGCGCGTACGCTTATACATGACCAGAGAGACCGTTTAGACAAAACTCATTGGTCCCAAGTATCAAAATTCCTGATAAAACTTCGTTCAAACCTAATAACAATAAAACGAAGGTACAACTTAACTATCTCGGTACCAACGATACTGAACACCCCGTTAACAGTAGAAACCGATCAGGAATACTCAGACACACCTGAGGTCGACCCTTTAGAGGCCGAAGACTCCGATCAACATTCTCCCGAAATTGAGGAGACGGATTTAAACAATCTGACTATACCGGCTATTCTTATCCAATCTGAATTTTCAGATCAGGAACAAACCGATTCTGACACCGGTGCTAGTGTAATTGAGCAAAAGCCTTACATCATGGTGGACGAATCGGCAGCCCAACGGGCATATATCAAAGACATTTCTCACGCTGTGCCGGAATTTGATGGAAAGAAAATCCATCTGCAAAGATTCATTACGGCAATTAAGTTAGTTGATCTAACAAAAGGCAATTATGAATCAATTGCAATAGAGGTCATAAAGTCAAAAATAATTGGCTCAACCCTCTATAAAGTACAAAATGAAACTACAATAAAAGAAATAATCAAAAAATTGCAAGACACAATTGTAGGCGAAACTTCTGACGTTGTAAAGGCAAAAATGTCAAACGTATATCAGAAGGGAAAAACAGCCACACAATTCACAACCGAAATGGACAATCTAAGGAAGCTTCTGGAATCATCGTATATTGACGAAGGATTACAACCCGAGCTCGCTGAAAAATTCAGCACTAAAGAAGCTATCAACGCAATGACTAGAAACTGCGAAAACGGGAAACTGAAGACCATCCTGGAAGCTGGCACATTCCCAACAATGAATGATGCCGTAAGCAAATATATAAATTGCAGCACACAAATGACTGGCAATGCCAGCACAGTATTCTACACTCAGAGAGGACATGCATATCGTGGTAATTACAGAGGTAATTATCGCGGCAGAGGCTATGGCCGTGGATATGGTAACAACTATAACCGCAATAATGGCCAGCCGAACTACTACAATTCGAACTCCAGAGGAAACAACAGTTACAGAGGTAACAGTCGCTCAAATGGAGGAAACAACACGAACAATTCAAATAACAATAACGTGAGGGTAGCCCAGAATACTTCGGGAAACTCCCAGCAACCCTTAGATACTCAACAACAATAAACCATAAGATTCACACCATCAATCTC